GTGTTAAATTTAATTTTAAAAAACTGGTAAAGTTACAAGATGGAAAAGTAACATTAAAGTCATTTGCATTTCTATGCACTAACAATAAACTATCTGAAAAAGAAATTAAAACAATCTTATTTACAATAGAATCAAAAAGAATAAACAACTTCAGAAAAATTAGCCAAGGAAGTAAAAAAAAAAACTAAGAAATTGAAAACTAAGGCAGTGATGAAAGCAAAGAAGACCAAAATAAATGGTAAAACACCGTGTGTTCATGGATTGGAAGATTTAATATGTGCAAGTGTCCATACTACCCAGAGCAGTATAGAGTCCATGCAATCTATATCAAAATCTCATGGGCATTTTTACAGAAGTAGAAAAAGAATCCAGAAAATTGTATGGGACCACCAAAGACCCTAAACTGCTAACCAATTCTTGAGGAAGAACAAGGCTGGAGGCATTTCACTTCCTAATTTCAAGCTACATTCAGAACTATATTACTATATCTATCAGACAGTATGAAAAAAGACACACAAACCAGTCGAGCCGAATAGAGAACACAGAAGTCAACTCACACATTGGCAACTAATATTCAACAAAGGTGTCAAGAATGTACAACGAGGAAAGAATTATCTTTAATAAATGGTGCTGGGAAATCTAGATATCCAAATGCGAAAGAATGATAGTAGACTTTTGTGCCATACCCCCCCCAATCAACTAAAAATGGATTAAATACTTAAATCTAGGACCTGAAACCATAAGATTACTACATGAAAACAGGAGAGCTCCTTGACATTGGTCTTGGCAATGATTTTTTGTCATATGTATGGAGAGAGTGAGTTCTTCAATACCCAGTCATAAGAAAGAAGGAAATATTACCATCTGTGACAACATGGATGTAACTTGGAGACATTATGGTACATGAAATAAACCAGACAAATACTTTATGATATTACTTAGATGTAGAATTTTTAAACATCAAACTTATAAAAACAAAGAGTAAAATTGTGGCAGCAAACAAGATTTTGTTCAGGTGGTGTAAACTATCAGTTATAACAAAAATAAGTTCCAGAGATCTGATATACAGCATGGTAAATGTAGTTAAGAATAATGTAGTATAGCTGGCTGTGGTAGCACACACCTGTAATCCCAGCAACTAGAGAGGCTGAGGCAGGAGGATTACAAGTTTGAGGCCAATCTCAGCAATTTAGCAAGGCCCTCAACAATTTGGTGAAATCCTAACTCAAAAAATAAAAATAAAAAGGGCTTGGGATGTGCTCAGTGGTAAAGCCCCTCTAGGTTAAATCCCTGGTACAAAAAAAGAAAAAAAAAATGTGTCATATACTTGAAGTTTGCTAACAAAGTAAATCTCAGGGCTTCTCACCACAAAACAAAACACAAGGGTAGCTACGTGAAGAAATTGATATGTTAACTACCTTGATTGTGGCAGTCACCTAACCATGTATATGTGTGTGTCAGATATCACATGTACACCTTAGAGACACAGTTTTCTTTTGTCAGTTATACCTCAGCATAGCCTAAGTAAATGGCTAAAGACATGAAAATGGATAATGTTTCCACTGAAAAAGAGATACAATATCTCATAAGCACAGGAGAAGATGTTCATCATCATCATTTTTGTGTTGCTGAACAAATCACCATAAACACAGACAATTAAAACAACACAAATTCTTACAGTTCTGGAGGTCAGAATTCTGAAATGGGTTCACTAAACTGAAAGTGTACACAAGGCTGTGCTCTGTCTGAAGTCTTGTATCTTCACGTCTCTGTGGGTTTCTTCTTCATGTAGCAGAGTGTGTGGAAAACAAGATTTTGATTCTAATCCCAGCTGCCTCCTTCTTTATAAAGACCTTATGATGACATTGATTATCCATCTGGATAATCTAGAATTTTCTTCCATGTTTGAATTCTTAATCACATCTGCCAAATTCCTTTTGCCATATGCCATAGCAAATTCACAGGTTCAGAGTTTAGGATGTAAACATTTTTGGTGGTCATTGTTCAGCCTACCACAATTAAATTAAATCACTAGATTTAAAACAAAACATGGTGAAATGTCACTGTGTACCTTCCAGGATGGTTACAATAAAATATAGTGACAACACCATATGTTGACGAGTATGTGAAAAAATGGATCAATCATTGCTGTGATTTGGATGTGGTTGTTCCCCAGGGATCATTGTTGGAGGCATGGTGTTCAGGGTGGTGGTGTTCAGAGGTTGGAACTAGTGGGAAGCCGATAGGTCATTAGGGGAGCTGCTCTCAGAAGGGTTAATGCTAATCTCAAAGTGAGTGAGTTGTTCTCATGAGAGCAAGTTGTTAAGAATCCCTTTCTGGCCTTTGGTCTTGCTGGGTGATCCCTCCCATTTCCATACTTTTCACCATGATGCCATGTGCCTTGTGGTAGAGCCAGGAAAGGTCCTTTCCAGAATAGAGCATGCTCTGGGTCCAGAAGAGTGAGCTAAGTAAACCTCTTTACTATATTACACAGCCTCAGATATTTTGTTATAGCAACATAAAATGTATTAGTAATAATCATGTATTGTTGGTGGGAATATAAAATGTTATGGCTACTCTGGGAAACAGTTTGGTAGTTTTTTTAAAACCGGAAACATGGAACTAATATTAGAACCAGCATTTGTATTCTTTTTTTTTTTTTTTGAGAGAGAGAATTTTTAATATTTATTTTTTTTAGTTCTTGGCAGACACAACATCTTTGTTGGTATGTGGTGCTGAGGATCGAACCCGGGCCGCACGCATGCCAGCATTTGTATTCTTGATCATTTTATATTCACAAAAAATCTGTATACAAATGTTTATAATAGCTTTGTTCATATATCCCCAAACAGAGAACAACCAAAATACCCTTCTGGGGGGAAGGGTTAAATGAAGTGTAGTACATGCTTACAATATAATATTGTTCAGCAATAAAAATGAATTAATTATTGACACAGGCAACAAATGTCTAGGATAGTGTACTGAGTGGTGGGGGGAAGCTAATCCCAGGAGATTAGATATTGTTTGATTCCATTTATGTGCACTGTAAAACTGACAAATATAAATGGAGTCCAGACTGGTGGTTGCCAATGTTCAGTGGCAGTGAGGGTGAGAGATAAGTGGGTATGGCTAAATTGGCTGCCTGAGGGACCCTTGGGTTATGGAACTATTCTGTATCTTGAGAGCATCAGTATCTTGGTGGTGACATTGTACTACAGGTAGTCCCTAATCTACCATGGTTTGCTTTTAGATATTTTTTTACTATGGGATGGTGAAAAGCAATGCATATTCAATAGAAAAACTATACTTTGAATTTTCATCTTTTGGGGCGGGGTAGCAGTATGTGGTGTAACACTTTTTTGTCATGGTGGGTAGCAGCAGTGAGTCACAGCTCCCAGTCAGCCACATGATCAGAAGGGTGCACAACCTGTGCTTTTCTGTGTACTGTGTTGCTGAGCTATGATGTTTGGTAAGTTAAGTGTATATTTCAACTTATTATGTTTTCATCTTATGATGTATGTATCAGGACACAAACCTATCATAAGTTGAGGAATATATTACACTGTATATCACACTGTAGTTTTACAAGGTGTTAGTTACCATTGGAGAAAACTGATCAAAAGCTATATGACATTTTTTTTCTGTTATTTCTTACAGTTGCTTGTGAATCTTTTATAATCATCTCAAAATTTAAAATCTAAACATTTTTTTAAACTTATAAGATGTAACTAAAGTCATGCTCAGAGGGAAGTTCATAGCCTCCCTTACAAGTATTTAAGGAGAAAAGATAGAAAAAGTAGAGCAAATTAGCACAACCCCCCCCCCCAAAAAAAAAAAAAGAAGAAAGAGGTAGAAATCAAAGGGGTGGGGAACCTAAGACTGGGAAAAACTACAAAGCTAAAAATGTTCATTGTTTTAAAAGGTTGATAGAATCATAAAATTTATGAATCTCTTTCAAGGTAGACCCAGGAAAAGAAAAGTACTAATGTTTGAAGAATCTACTGATGTGTTTTTAGGTTGATATTGTATCTGGGACTTGATATATTCTCTTATTAGTCCTAATAATTAGCAGTCTATATGGCATTTTCTAGGTAAATGGTAATTTGTCTGTAAATAATAATACTGTTATTCTGCTTTTCTTCCTTTAATTCTCCCCCACATCATGTTGTATTGACGAAAACTTTTAGTATGATTGTTTCAGTCAGCTTTTCACTGCTGCTACTTGAAGACCAACCAGAACAATTGTAGAGGAGGAAAAGTTTATTTAGGGGCTCATGGTTTCAGAGTTTTCAATCCATAAACAGCAGGCTCCATTCCTCAGGGCTCAAAGTGAGACTGAACATCATGGAGGAAGAGTGTGGCAGAGGGAACCAGCTCATGTGATCCAGAAGCAGAGAGAGAGGTTACAAATATATACCTGCCAGATACAAATATATACCCAAAGCCACGCTCCCATTTCCCACCTCCTCCAGCCACACCCACCACTTTAGTTACCACTCAGTTAATCCCTATCAGGGGATTAATTCACTGATCGGTTTAGGATTCTCACAACCCAGTCATTTCTCCTTTGAACCTTCTTGCCTTGTCCTATGCGTGTGCTTCTGGGGACACCTCACATCCAAACCATAACAATGATGTCGAATGTCAGCAGCGAGAGTGGGCAGGCTTGTATCCCTGCTGAATGTAATGTGGCGCCTCTGCTCTGTCATCGTGAAGAATGGTCATTAATGTCGGTTTCTAAAATCAAGAAAAATTACTTATATTTCTAACTTGTCAAGAGTGTTCTGTTCTGATTTATTTTGTTTTGGCATATATGACTGGTAAATTTACCAAATGAGTTTCAATATTAGTTAAATTGATTTTTCCCCTTTTTCTCTCTTTTTGAATTACATCAATAGATTTTATAAATTTTAAATTTTTAAATTATATTTCATTTAAACTGTCAGTTTTGGCTAGAATGATGTGAGAAAATATTTAAAGATTTGTATTTTTTATTATAGAAAACTTTCGTCAAAGGAGATGGAGATGACGTATCAGTAAACTCAGTAGTTGACCAAAGGTAAAGTATTACCACAAAAATGTGATTTTCTTAATTATATCAGTTATCATTTAAAGGTTTCTTTTAGTATTAGGGAAGTTTTGTCATGGTCTGCTAAGTTCGTTTTAAGTGACTTGTATTGAACTGATAAGAAACGCAAGTGTTACAGAGTCTGTAAGAGTGATTTACTGCAGAGGGTGATTTGGCCCCTGTCCTCCAGGAGATGCTTGACAATGTCTGGTAACATTTTTATTTCTTACCACAAGCAAAGCCCAAGGACAGGGACATAGCAACCGGCATCCACTGCGTAACAATCAGGGACACTATTAAATAGTCTAAATGCTCAGGAGCAGCTCTCTATCCCACACATGACAAAGAACTTTCAGTCCAAAATATTGATTGTGCTAAGATTTAAAACCCTTAATTTAGGAAAAAAGGCCAGGTATTGATTCCTATTAAATGTTGATGTGTAATTTATTTCACTTGTTAGATACTTATTAAGCTAAATAGCATTTAAAATATAGCATATTCATTTTTTTCTTTAGCTTTTTGGCTCCTCTCATTACTGAGTATGATAAACAACTAGAAGAGCTAAATGGCCAGCTGAAATATTATCAGGTATGAAATCTTAATTATGAATCTTTTTGTAATATTTTATTTGGAAAATATTAAAGATTCACATTCTTTTAAAAAATTGTCAGAAATAAAATATTTTGCTATAGTCAATCAGTTCTTGGCTCTCTGTAAGCATGCATGTGTATTTAAAGTTTCTCTTCAGTTTTGTTTTTTAATTCAGTATTTCCTTGCTCTTCTTATCTGGCAGGAACATCTTAGATGCTTAGTAGAATCTTTTGGTCACATTATTGCTTGCTTATATGCTTTTCTCTCTCTCAAACTAACTCATCCTTTAAGACCCTTCTTATTTTCATTCTACCTGTCTTTCTTACTGTTTGCATAATGGACTTTCCCCTCAATTTGAAATAGTGTCTCAGTCAGATGCTTTTGTTTATATTTTTACATATTTTTATTAATCCACTTCTAATATAGACTTGAACTGCAACAGTTTTGTTTTGTTCTTTTTTTCCTGAAATCCTCTTAGCAATGAGCGCTTATTTTAGGAATGAAGGGCAAAAGAAACAGAGAAAGCTGTCTCTTCAGACAGATTCTGGGTTCCAGGGCTTCTGAAACTAGAATCATGGAAAATTAGAGTAATAGTACAGAATTGTTCAGTATACAATCTGAGTTTCAATGCATTACATTTTTAGAATATAACTAATATTTATAATGTGTTTCTTTGAACTGAGAATGCCTTTTACATTTTCTCCCCAAAATTTTTGATACTGGGATAATAATACAATAGAAGCATTTCTTAATTAGAATTTACACGTCTGAAGCTAGGCCCACCAGCTGGCAATGACTTCTCTTTGTTAGAGCTTGAATATACTCATGATTGTATTTGGCTAAGATACCAATCCCTGGATCAGTTTTGTTGTGGAAAGGCAAGCAGGGTTGACTTAATTTAGTGCAGATGGAAGAAAGTATAATGAATTGACATAAAAACAACCCTTGAGACTGATTTTTCTCAGAATGGCACTTTAGACATGGCAGACACTAAGCACTTGCTGTCTTCATTACTTTTCTCTTTATGCATTGGTAGGATAAGATCCTGTGTTATGTTTTAAAGTATAGCCCATAGTAGGTCTTTAAATATCTGATGAATGATTAAATGACAAGGCTTATGGAAACATGATGGTTAGAGCTAGTTTAACATTCTCTTATTTTTCAATTAATGGATTGATATGTAGCTTTACTGAGAGAATACATGCTTACAATTCCTAAGCATAAAGTTAGGTTATTCTGTTGCATTTGGAAATATGTAGACTTCCATTTACAAAAGATTATTCCTCTAATAATAAAGGTAAAAAATGAACCTAAGTTTCAAAAACAGGCTTTTCTTTAAATTGCATTTTCTATTTTATCATAAGCCAATTCTTAATTCATTTTCTAGTCTTTATTATGTACTTTTTAGCCTGTGGTCATTTAAATTTAAGCTAACCACAATAATGCCTTTTCATCTTTCTAATTGACAATTAAAGAACAACAGAAAGCTTTTTTTTGCACAAATGATGTCTTGCTTTTATCTTTAGTGAATCTAAAGTTTTTGTGAATCTGCTCTCTATAAATTGCTGAAATGGCATATTATGTGCTCTAATAGTAATAGCATAGAATAACTTATTATCTTGAAATTAGTCTTTATACTTTTTATTATAAGTTTCATGCATCCCTTTAGTCAGCTATTTTACTACAGTGTTTAGTTTCATTTTCATTTAGCATTCTCACCATCTAAGGGTGATTACTAAATTAATTACTAGAAAGTCCAGAATCTGTGATGATAAATAGTTGTTACTTCTTTTAGAGAGGAAAAAAAGATATTGACAGCTTCTTCTAGAATCACTGATCAAATCGATATTATTAATTAGTAGAACTAATTCTTATGACTTACTGACTTGATTCAAAAATAGTCTATCTTCAAAGCAGGAAAAGAATTGCTGTAATTCTCTATAGAAAGATTTTCTGCCAGAAAAAAAATGTCAATAGTTGGGGGAAATTAGATGATGTGAGAACTACTGTGTCAATTTCCTTCCCTTTCAAATAAATGTTTTGAAACATTTTACAGTAAAGAATTTTAATGTAACCATTATTATCCATCTATAAATGTAACTGATATATATGTATCCTTTGTAAGTTTTTGCAAATAAGGAATACTTTTCAAGATACACTTATATTTAAAAAATTTTTAAAGATCAATTTTTTAAAAAGAATTTTTAAATAAGGATAATTGCTATAGTAAAATCCAGATCTTTCGGCAGCACATTGAAGATCCACATCTTCCTTTTCCAGTTTTATTTCTTACTCCGTGTCTGGTCAGTGCTCAGTTATCTGGTAGTAAGTTAATTCATTTTGGTTTAAGTGTGATTCAGGCATAGCAAAAAAAATTCACCTTTCACGCCAGCTTTATAGTTAGAATTGAGTATTGCTGCTTTCTGAGAGCAAGCTACCTTGAGCTTCTCTGGTTGGAAGGGAGAGAGGAGGACTTGGAGAATTGTCTGTCCTATGTGTCTTTTGCCAGGGCTCACTCCAGGCCTGGCTCCTGTCCTTCACCAGGGTGCACAATCAAGGTCAATGGGCATGTCCAAATTGATGGCACTTTCAAGTGTAATTTTTACCTGGCCTCCTCCTTCCACTCACCCATTTATTCTTGTTGAGAGCCAACTAGTTATTCTTTGCCTTTATGCTTTTACTTATAGTTCTCCTTCCTTTTTGTTTTGAAATCCTAGGAGTCCCTTTATTCCCTCAGAGAAAGTTCATCAAAACTTCAACTTGTTCCCTGTGCAGGATGTGTTTTGTTCTTCAGAATGTGTTTTATTTTTAAACTCTCTTTCCTGCTAAGTATAAGTCAGTGACCATGCCTGATTTCCACATCAGCCTTGCATAGTGCAAAGGTTTAGATAGTTAATGAAGCTGCTGAGTCAGAGACCAACTGAATGGCTGCTGAAGAAAACCAAAATGCTCACACTTAAGGGGGCTTCACCTAAGCTGAATTAAGATATACCCAAGATATGGGAATCATCTGGTGTTTGTTGTAATGTGATACTGAGAGGTAACTTTCATCCTTTTCTCATGGCTACAAATGTTAGGAATTATATGTACAAATATTTTTCAATGTGTTACATAAAGTATTTTATCTTATTTATAGCCTATTCAAAATGAATGTTTTCTTATGTTCTGTGAATTATCAAACTATTCACATTTAAAGTTGATTATTACAAGTAATGAGTAAGTTTATCTTAGACTAATATTAAGTCATATTGCTTCCATGTGAATAGACTAGTTGATGGAGATTTAATCATCTGGAAAATGTGTCCTTACACCATATCTTATTCTTTCAGCAACAGATGGGTGAGATGAAACTACAACTTGAAAATGTCATCAAGGAAAATGAAAGGTAGATCATTTAGCTTTTGGTTCTTTTTTTGCTGTTTTTGGCAACTTTCAGTTTTGTTATTTGATACATAAAATCTACTGGTTAAAGGACTATGCTCTGGCATCTGATTTTTGTTGTTGTTGTTGTTCTACTCCTGGCTCCAATTCTTGTGACCTTAAGTAAATTATCAAACTTCTTTCTTCTTAGTTTTCTCATCAGTGAATTGGAAATATTAACGAAACCTTTTTCATAGGGTTGTCTGTAAGGGTAAAGCCTTTTTTCAAGGACTTGAAATAGGGCATACAATAAGTATCTTATAAATGTAATCAATTGAGTGTCATGTATTATATATTTTAGGAAACATACTGTTAAAGCAGAAATTTGTCAACCCCCATCCTGCTTAGAGACTAAAAATGTTGCCAGTACTGATATGTCTACCCATATTTTCATCCCTATTTCCATTCTTCTTCCCTTTGCCAGAAGTAAACACTATCATGAATTTTGTGTTTATCTCTGTTTAAAAATTTTATAGGTGTGTCTATCCACAAACAATATGTTGTTTAGTTTTTCATGTTTAAAAACTATATAAACATCATTTCATCTAGTAGGCTGGTACTTACTTTTTGTCACTGAATATCATTCACAAGTACGAGAGTTTCCAGGGATAAAATTACTATGTCATAGATTATACAGCAGTTTAACCTTACAATATAATACCAACTGATTTTTCAAAGTTAAATTCTCACCAGTGATATTTCTAACTTTATATTGACCAATACATTTTACTAGCACTAGCTGTTATCAACGTTCTTAAATTTTGTTACTTTGTTCATTGTGGTTTTAATTTATGTTTTCTAAATACTAATATGGCTAATCATTTTTCATGTTTGTTTACCCATTTGGTTATCTTTTCTCATGAAATATTTATTCATCTTTCACATAATTTTCTATTTATCTTTTTCTTATTAAGATGTCTGTATTTCTCTTACTTGCCTCCTAGTGGTAAAATTTTAATCTTATCTGTAACTCCAGCTTCAGAGATATCTAAGAAATATAGTTTCAGGCTTTTGGCCACTCTTGTAAGAGGCAGAAATATGGAAATGAACAGAAATGAATAATAAGTGGCAATTATTCATACAACATAGTAGACCATAGATGTTTAAAATATCTATTTCCAGGTTACAGGATTTGAGGAACAGAACCTCGACCATAGATGTTTAAAATATCTATTTCCAGGTTACAGGATTTGAGGAACAGAACCTTCTATCTTTTTCTTTCAATCTTAAGATAGTGGAAATTTGGGAATATAAGAAAATTCTAAAAAGCTTTCTGTTTTTAGAATCAGAAAACAGAAAGAATATAAAGTTAGTACTTAATAAATTAAAGTGACTTATTTTGCATTATTGTTTAATAAGTTTGTTGGTTTTTGTTTTCTGATATATAAAGTTTTAAAATTTGACTTCACTTTTCCTGATTATCATAGCTTTAGTGCCAATGTTAGTCAGAAATGTTCAATTAATATTTGTTGTATTAACATAAAACATTTATATATATTCATATTTACATATATATTCCTGTTTAGATCTAGATGCTTCAAGAAAGAGGCTCATGTTACTTTAAAGCAGTTGGAATATATAACGAGGAAATATATGTACTGTAACTAGAACTGGGAGAACATCAGGATCATCACTGAGGATATGCTCCTCTTTCCAATTCACAGGGTCTCACCCTGCCTTCTGTGTAGCAGCTCCTTCCACTCTTCTAACCAAAAGGAGAATTCTGTCTCTTCTATAGTTCAAATTCAAGACACCCAATCCTGTTGGTTTAACCAACTACCAACACTTGTATTCATCAGAGCTCTTCATACCAGCCAGCTTATGGTAGACCTTGATTGATAGGGCTGCCCTTCACTTAATCATTGACTTCCCTGTACACAGTATAGCTCATGCAGTTTCCTAGAGTCACGGGCTATGGACGGGGTGACTTAAGTCTGGGCACGGCAGACACAGTAACTACAACATATCCTTGTAGATCAGGATGCAGTTGTGAAAAACCTTTCTCTGACTGGAGATATCAGATAAGGCTCAAACTGCTGGGTGAAATTCAAAATGACTCTTTCAGAATAAGTGGTATTTCATTAGCTGAAAATAAAATATGCGTACCATAAATTACAGGTCTATTAATATGGCTATATCTCCGCATATTTAGGGAAATTATTCATGATGAGACTTGGATGGGGAGTGGGGACCAGATTACAAAAGATTTTACATATTTTGCTAAGGAGTTTGAACTTTTCCTACAGATAGCAGCAGTACAGTGAGCCCTTGAAGGATTTTAAACACAGGAGAGGGTGAGGGTGCACTTTAGAAGGATTGTTTCCAGTTATACTTCAGAGCTGGAGAATACCCTTCCTTGGAGTGGCCTAAGAAGAGAATCAATAATTTGCCTTATCAGGCTATTCTGCATTAACCCCCAAAATAAAGCCTGCCCCATAGTTATGGTGTGGACATTGTCACTGAGCAGGCTTGGATTTAGAGAATGAAGAAAGTTTGTCCAGTGAAAGGAGAGGTCACACAAAGCAGTTGTCTAGAATGTTTTGTATTTATGTATATTTGTCTAACTCTCTCTTCTGTCTCATTTAATTGATTCTAAGATGTACTGCTGAGGGCCATTGTCAAGTAGGAATGACGCATTGAAATTTCCTTGCCAGTGTACCCCATGTTGTTTAGAGGAAGGACTCRYGKAAATGGACTTGCCTTGGACATTCGCTGTGACATTGCATGTATGCTTTAGTAAGGTGACCTTGCTCAAGGACCAGGGTGGATCCGGGTTTAGAGCTGATCAGGTTTTAGGGAGTATCCCGTCCTTGGGTTTAGGGCAGTTCCAGGTTTAAGGTTATTCCTGCTGGGAATAGGGCGTATCCTGCTGCCTCAGGCACGCCCGATCCTTGAGTTCCCCTTGAGTTCTCGTGGGATACAGAAAAGTATTTTGGGATTGAAAAGCCTGGGGGAGTACGTGTATTTTGCGGCAGAACTTGGATTTCCCCAGAACGTGTGTAGAGGCCAGTGTGAGTTCAAAGAATTGCTGTTTGAATCTACTAAGCGTGAGTGGCTCGTGATCTTGTGCCCAGCCAGACTGCGGCATTTGGTGGCCCGTACGGGGAACGTCTGAAACTTGGGGGTAAGTGAAATTGCTCGCCCCTGAGGAAGAGCGAAAAAATGGATGACCATTTCAAAAAACAATGTGTTCTTGTTTTGATTTATTTCGTTTTTGTTTCAAGCTGCCTATCCCTAGAAATTTCTCAGGCAAACTGGGAAAAATGGTTGGCTCAAGGTTTGAAGTTTGTCCGCTCTGAGGAAGAGAAATTTGATACGATTTTTTTTATTCCGTTTTTGTTTCATTCAGTTGCGGTTTTGTTTTGNGAATTTTTAATATTTATTTTTTTTAGTTCTTGGCAGACACAACATCTTTGTTGGTATGTGGTGCTGAGGATCGAACCCGGGCCGCACGCATGCCAGCATTTGTATTCTTGATCATTTTATATTCACAAAAAATCTGTATACAAATGTTTATAATAGCTTTGTTCATATATCCCCAAACAGAGAACAACCAAAATACCCTTCTGGGGGGAAGGGTTAAATGAAGTGTAGTACATGCTTACAATATAATATTGTTCAGCAATAAAAATGAATTAATTATTGACACAGGCAACAAATGTCTAGGATAGTGTACTGAGTGGTGGGGGGAAGCTAATCCCAGGAGATTAGATATTGTTTGATTCCATTTATGTGCACTGTAAAACTGACAAATATAAATGGAGTCCAGACTGGTGGTTGCCAATGTTCAGTGGCAGTGAGGGTGAGAGATAAGTGGGTATGGCTAAATTGGCTGCCTGAGGGACCCTTGGGTTATGGAACTATTCTGTATCTTGAGAGCATCAGTATCTTGGTGGTGACATTGTACTACAGGTAGTCCCTAATCTACCATGGTTTGCTTTTAGATATTTTTTTACTATGGGATGGTGAAAAGCAATGCATATTCAATAGAAAAACTATACTTTGAATTTTCATCTTTTGGGGCGGGGTAGCAGTATGTGGTGTAACACTTTTTTGTCATGGTGGGTAGCAGCAGTGAGTCACAGCTCCCAGTCAGCCACATGATCAGAAGGGTGCACAACCTGTGCTTTTCTGTGTACTGTGTTGCTGAGCTATGATGTTTGGTAAGTTAAGTGTATATTTCAACTTATTATGTTTTCATCTTATGATGTATGTATCAGGACACAAACCTATCATAAGTTGAGGAATATATTACACTGTATATCACACTGTAGTTTTACAAGGTGTTAGTTACCATTGGAGAAAACTGATCAAAAGCTATATGACATTTTTTTTCTGTTATTTCTTACAGTTGCTTGTGAATCTTTTATAATCATCTCAAAATTTAAAATCTAAACATTTTTTTAAACTTATAAGATGTAACTAAAGTCATGCTCAGAGGGAAGTTCATAGCCTCCCTTACAAGTATTTAAGGAGAAAAGATAGAAAAAGTAGAGCAAATTAGCACAACCCCCCCCCCCAAAAAAAAAAAAAGAAGAAAGAGGTAGAAATCAAAGGGGTGGGGAACCTAAGACTGGGAAAAACTACAAAGCTAAAAATGTTCATTGTTTTAAAAGGTTGATAGAATCATAAAATTTATGAATCTCTTTCAAGGTAGACCCAGGAAAAGAAAAGTACTAATGTTTGAAGAATCTACTGATGTGTTTTTAGGTTGATATTGTATCTGGGACTTGATATATTCTCTTATTAGTCCTAATAATTAGCAGTCTATATGGCATTTTCTAGGTAAATGGTAATTTGTCTGTAAATAATAATACTGTTATTCTGCTTTTCTTCCTTTAATTCTCCCCCACATCATGTTGTATTGACGAAAACTTTTAGTATGATTGTTTCAGTCAGCTTTTCACTGCTGCTACTTGAAGACCAACCAGAACAATTGTAGAGGAGGAAAAGTTTATTTAGGGGCTCA